GCTAAATTAAAAACGGATGATAGTGCGCTTTGCAGTTTTTGAAATTTCAAATCAATAAACCTCTTTGGTAAAGTTTTTTGTCGAGTTTATATAATTAGTTCGTCAGGTTAAGCCAGGTCAGATCAGAGTATAAATATATATTTTGAGATGGCAAATAATGAGTGATTTGCTAAGCTTACGAAAACTTTTACCAGATTTCCGAACAATCGGATTTGTATTTAGTTGCTGAGTTCTATTGAAGGGTTGTAATACAGCTTGTTTTTTTTTAATCTGTAAGTCTAAGGTGAAATATAAAGACGGATTCATAAACCACTTATACAGAATAATGAATAAGATAAGAGAGAAATGTTTAACAACGACTGCTTTAGTATGAACTTGGCCTACAAACACGATTGGGATAAATGTCGACACGCCTTAGCAAAGTTTGCCCCTTTTTACTTCCCGAGTGTAAGCGAGATGTAAATGTTACTTAAATTTTATAAAATAACATACTCCTACACTTATGGTTTATGAATCCCTGTTCAGTTTTTACCCTAGGCATCCAAATTTTTGGAGAAAAAATATATTACATTTTCCAATTTAACTTTGAAACTGCAAGAGCGAATGTTCCGAAATCTTGTAAATGTTTTAAGGTTATCATAAGGATTGTATATCGTTAATCAAAATTTATTCGTTCATGAAACCCACAACCTACCTTTCCCAAGAATTGATATCGTCTTACAATTTTGTCGCCATAAATGTTGCTTAAATGTTAAAAACTAATATGAATCTGTGTTAAATTTTTATTTTTGACATCATTTTTTATTTTCGAAAAAATCAAAATTATTCACTTTTTCGTTTTCCCAATTTTTCGAATTTTCGAAGTTTCGATTTCTCAATTTTTCGATATTTCAGTTTTAGTATTTTTTTTATTTCAAAATTTTTCGATTCGCAATTACTCGTTTTTATAGTTTTTCAATTTCCCGATTTTTAATTCTGTCAAATCGGGTACTCAATGTCTCGATTTTTCAAATTTCCAATTCCCTATTTTCCGATATTTCAGATCTTTCAGTTTTTAAATTTTTTGATTTTTAAATTTCCTGATTTTCGAAAACATATATCAATTTTTGACATTTCTATAATTTCGAATGTTTTTATTAATTCATTTTCCATTTTTTTATTTTTCGACTTTTCGTTTTCTCGATTTTTCGACATCTCAATCATTCGACTTCTCGATTACTGGATATTTTGATTTTCCCATTTTTCGACTTTTAGATTTTTTGATCTTTCGGTTTCCCGAGTTGTCGATTTCTCGATTTTTCAATTTTTAGATTTTTAATTCTTCAATTTTTCGAGTTATCAATTTTTCAATCCCTCAAATTTTGAGGTTTTTGATTTTTTTTCTCGATTATTCAGTTTTTCTTCGATTTATCAATCGATCAATTTTTGACTTTTGGAATTTGTTCATTTTTCGATCTCCAAATTTTTGATATTTTAATTTTTTAAATCTGCGATTTTTCGATTTCTTGATTTCTTGATTTTTAAATTTTCCATTTTTTAAAATTAACATTTTTCGATTTTTCATTTTTCTTTTTTAAAATTATTAAATTTTTTGATTTTTCGATTTTAGCTTATTTCGATTTCCAAATTTTTAGATTTCTTGAGTTTTCGATTCTTTCATTTTGATTTCTTAATCTTTCGACTTTTCGATTCCTCGATTCTCCAGTTCTTGGGTGTTTCAGTTTTTCGAATTTCAGCTTTGGGATTCTTTGATTTCTCAATTCTTCAATTTTTCTCAATTTCAATATTTGACTTTTGAGAATTTATGGTATTTCGATTCTTCAATTTTTGAATATTTTAGTTTTTAAAATTTTTGATTTTTCGATTTTTCTGTTTCAAAATTTTTCGATATTTCAGTTGAATCTGATTTTCGATTTCAAGTTTTTATCTTGATTTGTCAGTTTCGATTTTTTGATTTGTCAATTTTTCGATTTCTTTTAAGCCTAAATTTTTCAACTTTTCAAATTTTAATTTTTCAATTTTTTAATTTTGGTTTATTTCGATTTCTCCATTTTTAGATTTCTTGATTTTTCAATTTTTCAACTTCTCGATTTTTTGATTTCTCAATTTTTCGATTTTTCGATTTTTCAATTTCTCGATTCTTCAAATTTTCTCTAATTTTTCAATATTTGACTTTTGGGAATTTTAAATTTTTCGATGCTTCCATTTTTTGATATTTTAGCTTTTTAAATTTTAGATTTTTTGATTTCTCGATTTTTCAATTTCAAAATTTTTCGATTTTTCGGTTGTATCAGATTTTCCATTTCAAAATTTTATCGAAATTCGTCAGTTTCGATTTTTTGAGTTTTGTAAGTCTAAATGTTTCGAATTTTCAAATTTTGATTTTGGCTTATTTCGATTTCTCAATTTTTGGATTTCTTGATTTTTCAATTCTTTGACTTCTCGATTCTTTAATTTCCCAATATTTCGACTTTTCGATTTTTCGATTCTTCAAGTTTTCGGTCTCTAAATTTTTGATATTTCCACATTGGAATTTTTCGATTTCCCGATTCTTCAATATTTCTTCCATTCTTGAAATTTTTCTGTTTATCAATTGATCAATTGATCAACATTTCAATATTTGACTTTTGGGAATTTTCAATTTTTCGATGCTTCCATTTTTTGATATTTTAGCTTTTTAAATTTAAGATTTTTCGATTTCTTGTTTTTTCTATTTCAAAATTTTTCGATTTTTCGGTTGTATCAGATTTTCGATTTTCGATTTCAAAATTTGTCAATTTCGATTTTTTGATTTTTGTAAGTCTAAATTTTTCGAGTGTTCAAATTTTGGTTTTTCAATTTTTTGATTTTGGCTTATTTCGATTTCTCAATTTTTGGATTTCTTGATGTTTCAATTCTTTGACTTCTCCATTTTTTGATTTCCCTATATTTCGACTTTTCGATTCTTCAGGTTTTAGGTCTCTAAATTTTTGATATTTCCACATTGGGATTTTCCGATTTCTCGATTCTTCAATATTTCTTCAATTCTTCAAATTTTTCTGTTTATCGATTGATCAATTGATCAATATTTCAATATTTGACTTTTGGAAATTTAAAATTTTTCGATTCTGAAATTTTTCGATATTTTAGCTTTTAAAATTTTAGATGCTTCGATTTTTCAATTTTTCAAATTTTAACTTTTCAATTTTTCAATTTTGGCTTATTTCGGTTTCTCCATTTCTAGATTTCTTGATTTTTCAATTTTTCGACTTCTCGATTTTTTGATTTCTCAAAATTCCGACATTTCGATTTTTCGATTCTTCAATTTTTCGGTCTCTAAGTTTTTCAATGTTTCAACTTTGGGATTTTTCGATTTCTTGATTCTTCAATTTTTCTTCGATTTTCCAATGTTTCCATTTATCGATTGATCAATTTTTTGATATTTAACTTTTGGGATTTTACCAATTTTTTTAAAATTGACCTTTTTGGAGTTTTCAATTTTTCTGTTTTAAAATATTTCGATTTTTCAGTTTCATCAGTTTTTGGACTTCATAGTTTTGTCGACATTTATCGAGATTTTTTGATTTTTCAATTTTTCGATTTTTTAAATTTAAATTTTTGTATTTTTCAAATCTTACTTTTCGACTTTTCGTTTTTGGGCTATTTCGATTTCTCAGTTTTCAGATTTCTTGATTTTTCAATTTTTCGACTTCTCCATTTTTTGATTTCTCGATTTTTTTGATGTTCCAATTTCCCAATTTATTTACATTTCAGTCTTGGCATTTTTCAATTTCCCTTTTTTCCATTTTTCGTTTTTGTTTAAATTTTACATTTTTCGATTTTTCAAATTTTTACATTTTCCGATTTTCCATTTCCCGAATTTTAAATTTCTCGACTTTTCGGTTCTTCAGTGTTTAAATTTCTAGATTTTTCAAGTTTTCGGTTTCTTAACTTTCCAACACTTCAATTTGTGAATTTTTTCAATTCTGCCCTTTCCAATTTTTCGATATTTTGATTTTAGATTTTCATATTTAGATTTCTTTCGATATTTCGGTTTCTCGGTTTTTTTACTTCTCGACTTTTCTTCTCCTTTTCGACTTTTCAAATGTCCAGTTTTCGAAATTACTAATTTTCGAGTTTTCAGTTTTCCAGTTTTTCCGCTCCACAGTTTGTAGGAGTTTCAATGTTTTTACTTTTCGATTTTTCAATATACGAAGTTTCAATTTTTTGACTTTTCGATTTCTCAAATTTCCCATTCCATTTTTCAGTTTTTCGGTTTTTCACTTTTTTTAATTTTCGAATTTTTGATTTCTTAAATTCTCGATCTCTGGATCTATCAATTTTCAATTTTTGGACCTTGCGGAAGATTTTTCTATTTTTTCGTTTTTTCAATTTTCGAGTTTTGAAATTTATTTTTGGTTTTTACTTCATGAAAAACAAAAATCGCAAAATCAAATTTTAGAATTTTTCAAAGAAGCGGGATTTATTGGGCTTTACTTCAAGGGCGAGCGAAGTTCTGTCGCAATAACCTTCTACCAATTTTTTTCTTAAAGAACTTGATCTCTACAAATATGGGAATAAGGTTAATAAAGCATCTGATATCAGCGACTCCCAACATATTTTGCTGATCGTATCATCCATTTAATTGGTTAAGTGTGCATTTCCGACCTGAATTGTGACTAAATGCCCTTAAAACTCGTCAATTTAAATTCCGTAGAAATGATAAAATATTGATCTGCAATGTAGCGACAATTTTTGTTGTTAAAATAAAATATGAAACAATTCAGTCACTGTCTAAAATACCAACAATAAACCGGCGACCGGTTGCGTCATACTCCGCAATTGTAACAACACCTCCACTTGTCCCACGAAGAAATGACTTTCACTTTCCCCAGGCGTGGCGACCCAGTTGCTCTCGCATTGACATTGACCTCAATCCAAAAGAAATGAAGACCATTTAAGTAGAATTTTTTATTAAATTACAATAAATAAATAACGTTCCTAAGTACGGCAGTCGATTTAGTGGAAGACTTTGGCTACGGGGGCGGCGTAAGCCAAGGGGGCGGCTACTTTAGCGATAGCTGGGGCAGCTACGACGGCTTTGGCTACAAGAGGTTCCTTGTGTACTACAGCGTTGAATCCGTTGACGGGATCAGCGGTGTATTCCACGGTACGTCTGGTACCATCGGGATCAACCAAAGAGTAGCTACCTTGGACAACATCACCATCGCGCACTTCTTGCTGGCTCTTGGAGTCACCGGTCAAACCGTCCTGGATGTCGTAACCGAACTGGTACTGGGGATGAGGGTCGTACTCGTCGGCGACCACGGTCTTGGCGACGGCGGCGACGGGGGCGGCGTAGGCGGCGTGGGCAACTGGGGCGGCGTAGGCGGCATGGGCAAGTGGGGCGGCGTAGGCGGCATGGGCAAGTGGGGCGCCGTAACCCAAGCGGGCAATGGGGGCTCCGTAGGAGAGGGTGGCCGGGGCGCTGATGACGCCAGCGCGGGCTACGGCGACGAGGGCGGCGAAGGCGACGAACTGAAATTGCAACTTTTAGCACTAGGGTGATAATAGGGGTGTTACCGTACCTTGAATGCCATGTCGGAGCGATCTGGATAAGTGATGCTTGAATTTTGACTCGGCGAGCTTTTATACTGGTTGTATGTTGTAACTAGAACACTTTTCGACCGGCAACGCCCCGGTTGAAGGCTGCGATCTTTTGTTGCACATGCCATTTTTGAACACGTGATTTTCGATTTTTTAGGGATTGTTGTGGTGACACAAATTTCTCTCGTTACGGGTTTTTGGAGGCGTTTTTGCGCCTAGCGACAGTACGATGCAATTTTTCGGTTGGAGGTGTGTACATCGAAAGAGTCGGAGGAACGAACTTTTGAATAATGGGTCCATTTGCTTGTTGTCGAAAATGTAACGATGTTGTTAATCTTTGGATTAGATAGAACGCATTTTCTCTTTTATTACATGTGATAAAATTTTCTAATAAAACCAACTCTGCCGGCTATGCATACTGCTTTATCTTGAGGAAAGTAGTACGCCTAAAGTCTGTGATGTATTATATAGACGCCATTTTCCACATAGTGAACACGAATTGCAAGTGCATGTGCAATTTAGATGATGTATGACGTGTTTTAAAATTTGAAGTGCATTATTACGATGATACGATCTGACATTTTAAAAGTCAGCTCTGAAATAAGGAAGGGCGTTGTACCAAATTTTCTTAATAGCCGTTTTCACGTGAATATTTTATAACTGACTGGAGACAATCATACACCTTGAATAAACATTTGTCATTTTTCAGGTTATTAACCACTCCGATTTAAGTAGAAAAGGCGTTATTTAAGGCTTTCCATACGTCACGACTGTCGACACGAACAAATAGATGTTTCCAAAATCAGTTTATACTGAGTGGAAAACTTGGTAAATTTAAAAGACTTAATATTTATTATCTCCGAAACTATGAATTCTGTCTAAATGTATCAATAAAGCTTTGCTAGTTAAAATTAGTACACACATGCATAAAATGCAGTGTTGAAGTGAATTTGATATTAATAAACCAAGATATTCTGACTAAAACAACAGTATTGATACTTATCTAAATCTAGGTGTATCAAACCTAATTGCCTAAGTTGGTCATAGACACATTTAATCAAAATTTTTCTATGGGCTGCCATACTAGTCCAGAATTTCCATATCAATTCATTTAAATCCGGTGAAAAATATTGATCTAATTATTTTAAAATCGTCTGTGGTTAATTTTTTTTTTTTGTTTTTTTGAGAAAGACATTTCCGAGCAGTTACAATTAGTTAATTTTGCAATTGAAAATTTTGACTTTTTCTCGAACACTTTGGAACATTACCCAGAGATTTTATTATCGATCTTAACTTGCAGAAATCATTTTCGGCAACATTTTTTCGAAAATCCTAACCGCCTTTCCAGAATCACCAAAGTATAGCCTATTTTTTGGATATTTTAAAAATTTGACTTTGAAACCGAAAATTTCGAGAACCTTGACCTGAGATCATCTCGAATCAGCTCGTCGATATCTACGTCCCAGAATGTTTGTGGATTTTGAGGCAACCTTGACAAAGGCTCAATTTTTCAATAACCCCCATTTTTTAAAATCTGAAAATTCCCTAAAGACATTTTCTGGTTAATTTCATTTTCGACAACATTTCTTCGAAAATTCGAACCACCTTTCCGAAACATGTCAATTTTTGTGTTGAAAATTTGATTTTGAATTGCTTGGTCTAGGTCTATTAGCAGGTTATGTTTTTGAAATTAGCGATTTTTTATGATGTGTTAAAAAATTTGGCTTTGAAACGGAAAATTTCAAAAATTTTGGTCTAGGATTATATTTTTCGAATCAGTGCTCATCGATATCTGTGTCTCAGAATCTCTGTGCATTTTGAGATAACTTTGACTAAAGTTTCTCTTTTTTGAAATTGTTGAACTTTTTCGAAGCACAAAAATTACCTAATGACGTTGTCTTAATTTCGACGTGCAGAAGTCAAGACAATTTTTGGGATATGCATTTTAAAAATCTGATTTTAAAACCGAAAATTTCGAATTACTTGGTCTGGGTCTTATGTTTTAGGAATTAATTCAACGAGATTTAGAACTCAGATTTCTTTGTGGATTATTGTCTCGATTTTTCGACGCTCCCAATCATGAAATTATTTACCTTCTTCCGTGCCCCTTCTAAAATTATGCAAAGAGATTTTTCTGTTGATTTCAGCTTCCAAAAGGTATTTTCGGCCTAGATTCTCCAGTTTTCCAGAATCTTCAAAATTAAATAATATAGCAGTGTGGAGTTTTTCGAATATTTTAAAAATTTGACTTTGCTACCATCAGTAGTCTATGTTTTTCGAAATAGTTCATCGATATCTATGTCTAAGATTTTTTTTGTGGATTTTAAGGTAACTTTGACAAAGGCTACATTTTTCAACAATCCCCATTTTGAAACTGTTGACCTTCTTCCGTGTACTTTCCGAAATTACCTAAAAACATTTTCTTGTTGATTTTGACTTGGGAAACTCATTGTCGGCAACATTTCTTCAAAAATTCTAACCCCTTTTCCAAAATCACCAAGATGCCAATTTTTGGAATATTTTAAGAACTTGAGTTTTAAACCGAAAATTTCGAATTTTTTCATCTGGGTCTATCAATAGCTTAAGTGTTTAGCATTAACTCGTCTAGATTTATATCCCAAATATTTTTAAACTCAATTTTTCAATGAAATATGTCCATTTTTGGGATACTTTAAAATTTTGACTTTGTAACCAAAAATTTCAAGAATCTTGGTATGTTTCACTAATCAGCTCGTCGATATCTATGTTCCAGTTTTTTTGTGTATATTCAGGCAACTTTGACAAAAGCTAAATTTTTCAACACCCCCCATTTTGAAATTGTTGACCTTTTTCCGGGCACTTTCGAAAATGAAATAAAGGTATTTGCTTGTTAATTTCAACTTGGAAAACTCATTTTCAACAACATTTTTTCGAAAATTCCAATCACTTTTCAACGATCACCAACAATTTTTGGAATATTTTAAAAATTTGATTTTGAAAACGAAAATTTTGAAAATCTTGATCTGGGTCCACCAAAGGGTTATATTTTCGAGTTAGCTCGTCGAGATTTATATCCTAGAATTTTTTGTATTTTTATTTTCAATTTGAAATTTTTGGCCTTTTTAGAGCTGTTTCAAAAATTAGTCAAAGAGATTTTTCTATTGATTTCAACTTACAGAACTAATTTTCAGCTGTATGTCTATGAAAATTATGAGCACTTTTTCTATAACCACCTAAACGAAATATGACAATTTTTGGGACAAACATATTTTAAAAATTTTAATTTTGGACCGGAAAATTTTCCTAATTTTGGTCCAAGTCTGTTAACGGGCTACATTTTTCGAGTTAACCCGTCCAGATTTATATCTCAGAATTTTTTATGTATTTTTAAACAACTTTCTCAAAAACTCAAATTTTCAATAACATATTTTTGAAATTTTTGACCTTTCTCAGAGCACTTTCGAAAATTACCCAAAAAGAATTTTCTGCTGATTTCAAGCTCCAGAAGTTATGTTCGGCTTCGTTTCTTCTTATTGTGTAGCTTTTCAGACAACTTTGTCAAAAGCTCAATTTTTCAATTCCCAAAAAATTATTCTATTATGAAATTTTCAACTTTTTCTGAGTACTTTCTTGAGAAAACTATCTAAAGACATTTTCTTGTTAATTTCAACTCATGAAACTTAGTTTCAATAACATTTAAACATTTTCCATTTTTACAACGAACTTGTCGAGATTTACATCCCCGAATTTTAGTGAATTTTTGGGAAATTGTCCAAAGCTCAATTACTCAATACCCAAAAAAATGTTCTGTTATAAGTATGGCATTTTCCACCTTTTTCCGGCCATTTTCGAAAATTGGCCAAAAAGATTTTGTTGTTAATTTTTTTTTTTCGAAAATTCTAGCCACTTTTCCAGAATCATCAAAATGAAATATGTCTATTTTTGGGGTATTTTAAAAATTTTACTGTGAAACCGAAAATTTCGAGAATGTTGGACCACAACAGTCAGCAAGCCATGTTTCTCAAATCAGCTCCTCTATATTTCTTTCCCAGAATTTTTTGTGGATTTTTAGACAATTTTTGCAAAAATTCAATTTTTCAATAACCTCTATTTCGAAAATGTAGACCTTTTTTCCGAATAATTTCCAAAAGTGTACAAAGACATTTTCTTGTTAATTTAAACTTGCAAAACTCATTTTCGACAACATTTCTTCCAAAATTCCAACCACTTTTCTAAAATCACCAAGATGAAACACAACAATTTTTGAAATATTTTAAAAATTTGGCTTCTAGAATTTTGATCTGAAATCATCAGCACGCTATATTTTTGTGGATTTTTAAGCAACTTTGCCAAACTGTTGACATTTTCTTGTTAATTTCAATTTATAAAACTCATTTTCAAAGAACAATTTTTGGGATATTTTATAAATTTGAAGCCAAAAGTTTCGAATTAGTTGGTCTGGGTCTTATGTTTTAGGATTTAATTCGTTAAGATTTATAACTCAGAATTTTTTGTGGAATATTTTTTCAATTTTTCAATACTCCCCACCATTTGACCTTCCCTACATTATCGAAAATTATACAAAGCGATTTTTCCGTCGATTTCAACTTTCAAAGTTTATTTTCGGCTTCGTTTCTTCGAAAACTCCAACCGGTTTTCCAAAGTCATCAAAATGAAATAATATGGCAATTTGCAATTTTTGGAAGATTTTGAATTTTACTTTGAAATGGAAAATTTCGAAAATCTTGGACTGAGACCATCAGCAGGCTGTTTTTCGAATCAACTGTGCCCAATAATTTTTTATGGATTTTCAGACCAAAAGCTCAATTTTTCGGCAACTCTTCTTTGAAATTCTTGACTTTTCCAGAGCACTTTCGAAAATTAACTAAAGGCGTCCTGTCAATTTAAAATTGCAGAAGTCATTTTTGAGGACATTTTTGATTTTGATACAGAAAATTTGGAATTATTTAGAGTGTGTCTATCAACAGCTTATGTTTTTGAATTATCTCCTGGAAATTTAGATTTCAGATTTTTTTGTGGATTTTTAGCTCAATTTTTCAGTCTTTGGCCTTTTTCCGAGCACTTTTGAAAATTAGCCAAAGGCTTTGTCTTCCTAATTTTGATTAGGAGAAGTCATTTCCGATACTATTTCTTCGAAAATTAAAACCCATTTTCCAGATCTCCAAGATGTAATATGACAATTGTGGTTTTGGAATTAACTCGAGGAGATAATTTTTTGTATATTTTTAAGCAACTTTGCTATAAGCTCAATTTTTCAATACCCAAAACAACCATTCAAATTTTTTTTTTAACAATGCAATACTCTAATTTAAATAGTTAATAATAAAAAAATTATTGTCTTGAAACTTTTTTATATTCAAAGTTGTGTGAAATTTTTCACTTTTTTCGAGCACTTTCGAAAATTGTCCAAAAAGATTTTTGTGTTGATTTCAATTTGTAAAGGTTATTTTCGGATTCGCTTCTTGGGGAACTTCAACCAGTTTGGGTCCATCAACTGGCTGGCTTTTCCGAATTATTTTGTCGTTTTAGGCAACGAATCGCCAAAATAAAATATGGCAATTTTTAACCTTACAGGTAATTATTTTGAAAGCTCTATCCAGAGGGTTAAATATTTTGGAGTTGTAACACATTTCTTTTCGTATTATAGAACACGTATACAACGCGCGCCGGAGTAGAATGTCGAGTTCGGTGTCGGTGTCGGTGTCGGTGTCAAGGTCACTGTATTAAATGATAAGAATAAAGATACCCAAGGCGATAACGCTACGATTGCACAGTAATTTGTATTTTAAATCGAATAAATTATAAATACTGCTCTAGAATTTGTAAATATTTACTTGTTACGTTAGTTGCTAAATTACACATTGTACTTTATTTTTTTGATAATTAATTATGACATTTCTAATTGATAAACTTAAATAAAAAAAGTATATTTTATAATAAAGAACAATTGACAATACATGAATATTTTTAATTAACCCAATCATCATCATTAATTGTCATTTTGTCAAAAAATACAAATGCAACATATTTTCGGTTTTTATTATTTTTTAAGAGAAAATTAATGACTTCGCCGCGTATACGTGCTTAATTTATATAAATTGACAACGCAGAGTTAAAACTCCAACCGTGCGTTCCTGGGTCGATGCACTCTTTTTTTTACTAAATTTACTATATTTCCTTTTATGTTACAAATAATTTTTTAATTTAAATTCGTTTCATAGCATTGGTTTAAATTTTATTTGTCTCAGGGATGTACAAGTGTCTTTTGTTTAGCAAGACCTCAGATACTTTAGCGCATTTTTACATTGTAAAATTTCGCATTTCTTGTTTTATAAAACAACCAATTTCGGCTAATTAAAATATCGCCAGATTTCTCTTAAAAACTTGATTCCTGTAATATGTACGCAAAACTTGAAGAACGTCTTCTTGACATGAAAATAAGAAGAAAGAAGACATATAATTGACCTGCACCCAAGAATGTACAGAAATTTTTACAGCAGTACAATTTAGTAAAAATTAAACTTTTGATAATAATTGTTAAAACAAATTATTACTAAACATCCTGTGATTTTGAGAACTATACATTTTTGGACGTTTCTTTTCTTTGTTTCTTATTTTCACGTTAGGTTCCTCTAGTTTGTCGCATATATTTTATTTTATCATAGAGTTAATTTTAATAAACGAAAAAGTGAGGTTAGGTGGTACCATTCTGCGTTTTTCAATTGAATACACAAACCATATAATAAGTTCATAATAAGGTATTTTATTTATTTAAATATCTTGTTTAAATACGCTTAATTGTTGATTATGTGCTTTGGATGTGTGTTTTATGAAAGTTCAACAAAACCTACACGTCACTGGGTTCCAGTTCGCTGATGTAGAAAATCAGTTTTAATTAAAACAACAAATGTTTCAGGAAAAATTAGATCATAATTTCAGTTGTAATTAACAATCAATTAAAACAATTTAATCAGAAAATTGTTGAGGTTTTACGTTCCACGGGCTACTGAACACTGTTTTCCTGGCACAATAGGTTTTAAATACCGCTCAAATTAGGCTACACACAAAATACAAAATCGTATTATTTTTCAGTTCGTTGTATCCCGGAAATATTCACCGGATAATAATTCTCTTATAATAGTTCTGGGTGTGCGGAATTCTCCGAAGTGGAAATCTCTTTCCGTGGAAATTTCGTCTTGAATTTACTAAGTTATATAAAAAAAATACCTGTTATTTTTTAATTTATCTTATTGTAAATGAATTATGTACAGTTAAAAATTAAGTCAAGTCTAGTTTCCCCTAATGTATGTATTTGGCGATGGGGGCGGCGTAGGCCAAGGGGGCGGCTACTTTGGCGACAGCGGGGGCGGCTACCACAGCTTTGGCTACGAGGGGTTCCTTGTGGACGACGGCGTTGAATCCGTTGACGGGATCAGCGCTGTATTCGACGGTACGACGGGTACCATCAGGGTCCACCAGAGAGTAGCTACCTTGGACAACATCTCCATCACGTACTTCATGCTGGCTCTTGGAGTCTCCGGTCAAACCGTCCTGGATGTCGTATCCGTATTGGTACTGTGGATGGGGGTCGTACTCGTCAGCGACAACGGTCTTGGCGACGGCGGCGACAGGGGCGGCGTAGGCGGCATGGGCGACTGGGGCGGCATAGGCGGCATGGGCGATTGGGGCGGCGTAGGCGGCATGGGCGATGGGAGCGGCGTAGGCGGCATGGGCAACCGGGGCGGCGTAACCCACAGGGGCGCCGATAAGGCCGGCACGGGCGGCGGCGACGAGGGCAGCGAAGACTACGAACTGAAATGGAAAAATTATTCGGATTTGTTTGATTGGAAGCGGATTTTGCGTGTACCTTGAATGCCATGGTGGTCGAACTGAATGCTGCGGTAAATTTCTTTTCGGGTTTTTATATAGTTAGGCCCGTCCAAACTGGAGTATTACCAAACGCAAGAGTCGACCTTGTCTGGTCTAACTTGTATATCACCGGCTGGATCACTTTCATTCGTGGTTGAAATTTTGTCTAATAACATCTGATATTGTTTCGCATTATTGAGGAACCTGCTTTGAGGAAATTGAGGTTGCAACGTTTGATGGTTATCTGGATCTGGCAACCAGAGTGGAATTTCGGGATTTGGACTCACATATAATTTCCTTTCTGCATTTAGGGTTATTTCGTTTGGATAAAGTGGTTTAGTCGTGACGATTTTATTTATTGTGGTTGCCACACGATGTTTAAAACAGAATAGCTGCGGTTTATGGAATGTTGACCTTTTCAGTAATTAAATTTTTTCTCGGGTATAGTTTTAAGCGTGTCGTGTACATTGTTCTAGCCAGAAATTAGAACATACGGAGTTTTAATTCGTGAAACTAAAAATTGTTCATCGACACGCCGATTTGTTCATGGTGAAATTGTTCTAAATTCAGATCTACTATGTGATATCGATGGTATCTGATCTTTGAAATCGCATTATAATAAAAGGACCTACGGTTAAATCGAGGTCACAATATAATTAATCTACCGACTGTCATTTAATAAGAAACTAATTGCATAATATTAAATTGGTAGACATTTCGCATCCATCGATTCTGCTCATATGCATTTGTCCACTTTCATAATCTTTAAATAACAATTATGCGTTAATAGGTGTAACAATGCAGAGAGAAAGCACTTTCGTTTGATAAGTTCGTCTATAATAAATGTACAATTAGTCTCGAAAAATTTTAACTTTTTAATGTTAACGCGTTTAATATTCATATTTTGTCCATATCGAACTGGAAAAATTCCGTTTGTGAAAATTTTTACCAAATTTACTTACAAAATGTGAACCTGAAAATTAGATTGGCTAGATTTTTTAAAGATCATTCAATTGACCTTTAAAATATTTGTTGTTTAGGAACACAAAAGACTAGCAATTTTTTATATTCACAAAAAATGTAGTATAGAATTCCGGCAAATAACTATTTTCATGTTTTTTCGACGTTTGATTACTCCTACACTCTGAAAGTAGCTGCTCCGTTTCCGTCGTCTGTCCGTCGTCCGAGTCGAGCCATTTTTTATAAAATTTTAAATGTAGTTTGGCAATTTAGTGTAGATGGTAAACGTAATCAAACTTGGTTTAACCATCCCCACTAAAAATTTGTTGACGACAGCACTAAATTTTGTCTGATAAAAAATAATATATTCGTGTACTTTTAGTTTATGAATGCGCCTTGAATTTTTGTAAAAAACAATCAAAATTTTATTACAACATTTAACAGACACGTTTTTTTCTCACATTGTGACTGGTATTACTATATTTTTTATTATGAAATTAAGGAAACTTAAATTAAAGTTTAAGTTTATTAATCTCAAAAATTCTGATTTTTCTTAACACCTAGGAAATTTTCGATTGTCTTATTGAATTATCTTTTATTGAAAAATAGCCTGCTTAAACACCTATAGCCTTAAATCTGGAGGAGTTTTAAGTATAGTAGTAGTATCTGGTGTTCTATTTTCGAAGAACGTTATAGAATCCTGAGGGACTCTGGTGCTTCATTTTTAAAAGGATCTTAAAGAATGTCGAGAAAGCCTTAGTGCTTTATTTTTGAAAAAGCTTAAAAAATCTTGGGCGTTTTATTTTTAAAGAAAATTTTTAGCGATCTTGAGCAACTCTGGTGTTTTATTTTTGAAGATCTTTAAAGATTCTCAGAGGCCTTTAGTGCTTTATTTTTGAAGAAGTTTAAAGAATCTCGGGCTCCCCTGGTGTTTTACTTTTGTAAACATTTTAAGGAACCTCGAGGAACTCTGATGTTTTATTTTTGAAGAAATTTAATGATTCTCAAAAATCTCTCGGGTTTACTGTTGAAAAAGTTTAAAGAATCTTAGAGCCCTCTGGTGTTTTATTTTCGAAGAAGTTTAAATATTCTCGTGATCTTTGGTGCTTAATTTTGAAGAAGGTTAAAGAATCTTGAGACCCTTTGGTGTTTTATTTTCAAAGAAGTTTTTAGAATCTCCGAGACCTCTGATTCTTCATTTTTAAAAGGATTTTAGAGAATCTCGAGGAACCCCTAGTGCTTTATTTTTGAAGAAGCTTAAAGAATCTCAGGCACCTCTGGTGTTTTATTTTTGAAAACATTTTTAAGGATCTTGAGGAACTCTGGTGTTTTATTTTTGAAAACATTTTTAAGGATCTTGAGGAACTCTGGTGTTTTATTTTAGAACATGTTTAAAGAATCTCGGGGGTCTTTAGTGCTTTATTTTTGAAGAAGTTTAAAGTATCTCAGGCGCTACGGGTGCTTTATTTTTAAGAGGATTTCAAAGAATCTCGAGGAAACCTAGTAATTTATTTTTGAAAAAGCTTAGAGAATCTCGGGGACCTCTGGTATTTTATTTTTGAAAACATTTTAAGAAATCTCGAGGAACTCTGGTGTCATTTATGAAGAAATTGAATGATTCTCAGAGATTTCTGGGATTTCACTATTGAAGAAGTTTACAGATTCTCGAGAGCCTCTGGTGATTATTTTTGACGAGTTTAAAGAATCTTAACGCCTTCTGGCGTTTTATTTTTGAAGTAGTTTAAAAAATCTCGGAGGTCTCTGGTGCTTCATTTTTAAAAGCATTTTAAAGACTCTCGAGGAAGCCATAGTGCTTTATTTTTGAAGAAGCCTAAAAAATCTCGGGCACCTCTGGTGTTTTATTTTAAAAACATTTTAAGTAATCTTGAGGAATTCTGATGTATTATTTTTTATAATCTTAAGAGAAAGAATCTCGGGGGCCTTTAGTGCTTTATTTTTGAAGAAGTTTAAAGTATATCAGGCGCTGCGGGTGCTTTATTTTTAAAAAGATTTTGAAGAATCTCAAGGAAGCCCTAGTGATTTATTTTTGAAGAAGCTTAAAGAAACTCGGGCACCTCTGATATTTTATTTTTGAAAACATTTTAAGGAATCTCGATAAACTCTGATGTCATTTTTTCAGAAATTGAATGATTATCAGAGGTTTCTGGGATTTCACTATTAAAGAAGTTTACAGATTCTCGGGAGTCTCTGGTGCTTATTTTTGAAGAAGTTTAAAGAATCTTAGGGCCCTCTGGTGTTTTATTTTCGAAGTAGTTTAAAAAATCTCGGAGGCCTCTGGTGCTTCATTTTTAAAAGCATTTTTAAGAATCTCGAGCACCTGGTGTTTTATTTTTAAAAACATTTTAAGGGATCTTGATGAACTTTGGTGTTTTATTTTTGAAGATGTTTAAAGAATCGCGGAGCTCTTTAGTGCTTTATTTTTGAAGAAGTTTAAGGAATCTCGGGCGCTTCGTGTGCTTTATTTTTAAAAGGATTTTATAGAATCTCGAGGAAACCCTAGTGCTTTATTTTTGAAGAAGCTTAAAGAATCTCTAGTGTTTTATTTTTAAAAATATTTTAAGGAATCTGGAAGAACTTTGGGATTATTTTTGAAGAAATTTAATGATTTTCAGAAATCTCTGGGGTTTTAATGTTGAATAAGTTTAAAGATTCTCGGGGGTCTCTGGTGCTTATATTTGAAGAAGTTTAAAGAATCTTAGAGCCCTCTGGTGTTTTATTTTCGAAGAAGTTTAAATATTCTCGTGGTCTTTGGTGCTTAATTTTGAAGAAGGTTAAAGAATCTTGAGGACCTTTCGTGTTTTATATTCAAAGAAGTTTTTAGAATCTCCGAGACCTCTGATTCTTCATTTTTAAATGGATTTTAGAGAATCTCGAGGAAACCCTAGTGATTTATTATTGAAGAAGCTTAAAGAATCTCAGACACCCCTCGTATTTTATTTTTGAAAACATTTTAAGGTATCTCAACAAACTCTGGTGTCATTTTTTCAGAAATTGAATGATTCTCAGAGGTTTCTAGGATTTCACTATTGAAGAAATTTACAGATTCTCGGGAGCATCCGGTGCTTATTTTTGAAGAAGTTTAAAGAATCTTAGTATCCTTTGGTATTTTATTTTCGAGGTAGTTTAAAAAATCTCGGAGGCCTCTGGTGCTTCATTTTTAAAAGCATTTTTAAGAATCTCGAGGAAGATCTAGTGCTTTATTTTTGAAGAAGCTTAAAGAATCTCGAGCACCTGGTGTTTTATTTTTAAAAACATTTTAGGAATCTCGAGGAATTCTAGTGTTTTATTTTTGAAGAAATTTAATGATTCTCAGAGATCTCTGGGCTTTTACTGTTGAAGAAGTTTAAAGATTCTCCGGGGCTCTGGTGCTTATTTTTGAAGAAGTTTAAGGAATCTTGGGGCCTTCTGGTGTTTTATTTTCGAAGAAGTTTACCGAATCTCGTGGGGCTCTGGTGCTTAATTTTTAAAAGCATTTTAAAGAATCTCGAGGAAGCCCTAGTGCTTTATTTTTTAAGAAGCTTAAAGAATCTAGAGCACCTCAGGTGTTTTTTTTTTAACACTTTAAGAGATCTTGACAATCTCTGGTGTTTTATTTTTGAAGATGTTTAAAGAATCTCGGAGCCTTTTAGTGCTTTATTTTTGAAGAAGTTCAAAGAATCGCAGGCGCTTCTGGTGCTTTATTTTTGAAGAAGCTTAAAGAATCTCGGGCACTCCTGGTGTTGTATTTTTTAAAACATTTTAAGGAATCTCGAGGAATTCTAGTGTTTTATTTATGAAGAAATTTAATGATTCTCAGAGATCTCTGGGCTTTTACTGTTGAAGAAGTTTAAAGATTCTCCGGGGCTCTGGTGCTTATTTTTGAAGAAGTTTAAGGAATCTTGGGGCCTTCTGGTGTTTTATTTTCGAAGAAGTTTAACGAATCTCGTGGGGCTCTGGTGCTTAATTTTTAAAAGCATTTTAAAGAATCTCGAGGAAGCTCTAATGCTTTATTTTTGAAGAAGCTTAAAGAATCTAGAGCACCTCAGGTGTTTTTTTTTACACTTTA